ACAAAAAGCAAGAGAGAAGGCAGCGGCAGATGAAGAACAGGCAAAAGAATGGAACAAAAACCCTCTCCATGCTCCTACTTAAAGAAAAGGGAACAACGGTTAAAGAAGAACGCGCCGATCGGAGAAGGCAGAACGGCGGAGCGAGATTTTCTCTCTTTTCCATTTAATGCAGATGAGACGTGCCCTGCACCGATGAGACACGCCCTGCTCGATGAAACGGCTCCTGATCAGACAGGACTTGGCCTGGCCGTGGCCCACCACTACCGCACGATCAACCACTACCCCATGACGGGCACAGGAACCGAAGCACCACCGCATGCGGGTGGTTTCCCGCTTCCCCAGGCCAGGCCTGGGGAGACGAAAAGACGAAATCTCCGCTGGGAGACCAACCGATCCCCCAAGCTGATCGAATCGCTCAGGATAAACCCCGACACACGGGTAGGAAGCAAAGGGACACCCCACGAGGTCCATGCCGACTCTGTCTCGAAAGACGAGCTTGGGTCCCGGTCGGACGTTTCCGACTGAAGCTCTCCAAGCCCCGTCGCTCCAGTCTCCAAGGTAAACACTATCAAAACCCCCTCTATTTCATTATAAAATCATTTCATACATCCATACGCGCATTTCATTCCATACGCCCGCGCCTCCCGGACGATTCGGGCCCTGAACCGCCCGGGGGCTCGGGAACTAAGCATCGCACGTGCAGCGAAATGCATCAGAACACTCTGTGTTGCGTCATGAAGCGGCGGTTGCCTCATTCGACTTGGGTAACCAACAGAGTCAGGGGAGAAAACCGTAGATGAGCACCGTGCGGCCCTAGCTCGGTCCGGCAGACCGGGTCATCTCAACCTTCTCGTTCGATCCTGAACCTCTCTCCAGGCCCACAGAATCTCCATCGAAGGGGAGGCCGTTAGGCCACCCGGGTCGGTCTCTAGAATGACCTAGGCATTTGTCGAGTTGCAGGTAAAGGAGTAGTGGAATGTCACAAGAGGGCTATGCCAACCCCATCACGAACGACAAACCCGGATTCCACTCGATCACACCCGTTAGCGAACTCACCGAGCTAGTCTTCGAGCCCGAGCAATCGGGACAGGCGACAAAACTCAGCCCTCCGGTTGTGAGGAACCAAGGATGGGGTAACGCACAATACTCACATCGACCCCCACGAAGGTCTGATAGGGCTCGAGGGCTCAAGAAAAACGCCAAGGACAGCGACCTCGAACTCGCCAGATCCACGACTCTGACTCGCCTGATCCCACGGCGCGCACCGACGCCAGGATCCGCGAGCATCGCCTCATCCGATCTTTAACCAACTAACTACGCTTCGGCTTCAAAATGGCTTCAGACAACTTCACTGCGCTCCAAATAACCCTAGGACCGCGATTCCTAAACTCGCGTAACGGCTTTAGACGGCTTCACTGCGCTCCAAAAAAAACCTTGGGACCGCGACCCCGAACTCGCGTCGACAGGATCTATGACATCCGGCTATGGCTCTTAGGACCGCGACCCCAAACTCGCGTCGATAGGATCTACAACATCCGGCTACGGCTCCTGGGACCGCGACTCCTAAACTCGCGTAACGGCTTCACTTAGGATCCATGAGCTCCGGCTCGTTCGATTCCTGAACTAACTAAACTAAATCTCTCGATCCACGGCGCGCACCGACGCCTGGATCAGTTCATGGCCCCGCCTTGCTCGACCCCACGGCGCGCATCGATGCCAAAGATCAGTGAGCTCTGACACGTCCGAACCGAGCTATCCCAATCCATGGCGCGCACCGATGCCAGGATTAGTAAGTTCTGTCTCAATCCAAATCCCCGCACCTCACCGCCTCGGCTGCGCAACGACACCATGGTTAAAACAAAAAAACCGTCTCAAAACTAGAAACATGCACACACGCCCGCTGAAACAACACCCCCCAGACGGTTCTGCCCGAACCGCTCGGGGGCTCGGGGGCTACACCCACGGGTGCGCTGGCGCACCCACCGACACAACAGAAAAACCTCCACCGCTGACAACGTAGAAAACCATCCAGCCGGTTCTGCCCGAACCGCCCAGGGGCTCAGGGGCTAAACCCGCGGGTGCACTCGCGCGCACCCGCCGGCAAGGCAAAAATCCCCCGGACGATTCTGCTCAAATCGCCCGGAGGCTCGAGGGCTTCTGTCGGGTTCATAAACCCGGGGTCCCTCGGGGACCGGCTTCTACGCCAGGGCTCGGCCTAGAAAAACAGCATGTAGTTCGTGAGCCGGACCAAGAGTCTAAAACACAACGGGTCGGAGGGACAGTCCGGTCGCTGACCGAAAGGTCTATCCAAAAACAAGCGCTCGCTCATCAACCTCTCCGGCCCACCTCTCTGACTGGAGCATTCGCTTTGGGCACCAGCCGCCTCCGGACGGTCTCTCCGATCGGAAAGGCCTGGCCCAAAATGCCGCTTCCTACTCCGACCCTGCGTCTCTGACCAGGGACCCCGTAGGAAGCCTGCTTACCACTCTTCTTCGACTGGCGCGGCCAGGGCCGACTGGGGCCATCCGACCGGGGACACCCGCTCGAAAGGGACAAGGGGCAAACGGAGAAGGCAGTGCACAAAGTCAAACCACGATACCGGGACCATACCCTGTACGCCTACGGGAACAGTACTCCTCAACCGCCCTGACACAAACAGTATTGTAGACGCCAACATTTGTGTCTATAGTATTGTAGGCGTCATTGGGCTCCCATACGGCAAAAAGCCCCCGCATACCTCTGGGCATCGATAGTAGGCGCCAGGGTTCACCATACCTGGTACACAGGGTAGGGTTCCTCACATACCAATAGTATTTTGCAGGTACCGACATTCACCCTTCCTGAAGAAGCCAACGCAACCTCCCATGTGCACCTGACATTCTACAGTGACATCAATAGTATTGTGGGCGCCTACCATCATCGCTATCCTCGTCGGCGTGGGCAACAAAGCTTAGAAACATCCGTACTCTCTCCCTCTCACCTGTAAAGTCATCCCCTTTATCTATAAAAAGGGGATGCGCTCCCTCCAACGGAAGAGGCCACTTCTTTGAGTTCAGACTCAGTAGATCGATAGCTCACAAACCCCTCAAGCACATGCTTGAACACCTAGCTCATAGCAGAGTTCCGGTCGCCCTCGGCCCTTCCGGTCGGACCCGACCGGGCCTCTCGTACGCCCCCTCCTTTCTCCTTCTCGTTTGTAACCTCACTAAAGACTTCGAGCACCTGAGCTTAGGAATAAAGTCACCGACCGACCTACACTAGACGTAGGACACGTTGTCTGAACCAGTATAAATCCTGTGTCATTGAGTGCTAGGCCACCTCCGATCACAACGTACAGCAAAACTACAAATATTCACTAGTTGGTCACTTTCTGTACCGACAAGAAGCCTCTAGAAATTATATTTAGCTCTATAAAAATAAGAAAATATCTATAAAATTCTCAAAACTTTCTAATTAATGAATAGCGTATTTAAAAACTTCCATCGATAAATCATGAAATGCGTCCGGCATGAATGAGTTCAATGTTAATATATGTTGCATTCATGTTGGTTGCATATCATATTTTAGAAAGCTTTTAAAAACATATTTACATTGATTAGAATGCCATGGAAAATTTTCAGATTTTTTTTGGATATGTTTCTCATTTTCCTAGACCTAAAAAGCTTAGATATATTTTATTTTATTTCGATTTTTGTATCTGAATCTATTTTTAGGATTCTAATTAAAAAACGGAACCAGCTATCTATGTTTGATGATTGGCAACTCTGAAAGGGACTACCCGGGACGATGATTAGTGGGCTTCGGCGGATGTAGAACTCGACAGTAAACGCAAGAGACAACGATTTATACTACTTCAAGTCGTTGTGTAGCGTAATACCATAGTCTAGTTAGGCGTGGTGCCTTTGCGTTGGGCTGTTGTGTATGATTGATTGTTACACGTCTGTTGTCCCTCTCGATCTAGGGAGCCATGTCCTTCTTTATATGGTACAGGAGGCAAGTCTCTAGTCGGTTACAATGTAAGAGTCCTAATAACATTACAAGATAGCAGTACTATTAGAGCATCTCCAAGAATACCTAATAATTTTTTCCAATCCATGATTTTTGGGAAGAATGAAAAAAAAAATCATCTCCAACAACTTTGAAACTCACCTCTCAATCTTTTAACTCTTGGAAAAAAAATCCCTTCTTGCACGTAAAGATCCGCGGACTCTAAGTCATGCGTATTTCTTTTCCCTCGCTTATTGGTTGGTCAATCTAAAGATCTAAAGGTGGAAGGGCGTGGAAAAGAATAAAGAGTAGGAAAAGGTTCCTGATGTAAATGTACAAGAGAAAGAATATATATATAAATTGTTGCGATAATTTAGAAATAGTATATGATTCCTGATATAAAACTGTCTTCTATATTTTAGAAGTGGATTATTGAAACTTTTGGAGATGACCTTTTTTTATTTCTCCTAATATTTTTTTTCGAAGTTGCAAAACTCTATATTTTGGGGAAGAAAATATTAGGTACTCTTGAAAATGCTCTTAGGATTACACGTGGAGAATTCTAGTCGAACTAGATCTTCTCCCTTCCTTGCGAAGTACCGGGGGACTATGTCCCACACCAGCTTGAAAACTACTTCTAAAGGGGACAAGAGATAGTTTAAACGGTTTAGGAAGACTTCTCTTGTTTTGGAGTACAAAGAATGAAATCTAAAATCTGATGGTAGTCCGAGAAAAAAAAAGACTTTTCCCTATTTAAAAGTTAAACGGTTCAGGAAGACTTTTCGGAGTTCGACAAGAAAGCTAAAGTCTGAAGACATAAGAAGAGACTTTTCCCTATTTGATTGAAACTGCAACTGACATGTGCAGTGAGGTCATGACATCCAGTCCACTGCCCCGCTGCCCCGCCCGGCCTCTCACTGTTTATAGCCACGGACGGGCGGCAGGCCACCGCACCACCAAGCAAACTACCCGAGAGCAGCGACGGCCGACGAGCATCTTCCAGCACCTGCCATATGGCTGCCATTTCCGTGTTCGTCCCCCGCATCAAGCTGGGCTCGCAGGGACTAGAGGTTTCCGCGCAGGGCCTCGGCTGCATGGGCATGTCCGCTGTCTACGGTCCGCCCAAGCCCGAGCTTGACTTGATCAAGCTCATGCACCACGCCGTCGCCGCCGGGGTCACCCTCCTCGACACCGCCGACATGTACGGCCCTCACACCAACGAGATCCTGCTGGGCAAGGTCGGTTTTAGATACTTGTTTTTCAAGTTTGCACTGAAGATGTCCGATGTAATAATGCTTCTGAATTCTGAGAAGGCGCTTCAAGGCGGGGTAAGAGAGAAGGTCGAGCTGGCCACCAAGTTTGCCGTCTCCTTCGCCGACGGCAAGATGGAGGTCCGCGGTGAACCAGCATACGTGCGTGCAGCGTGCGAGGGCAGCCTCAAGCGGCTCGGCATTGACTGCATCGACCTCTACTAATACTCCCGCATAGACCAGAAGGTGCCGATCGAGGTCACGGTGAGTGCAGTGTACCTTCTCCACTTGATTCCTTTGTTTGGTGGCTGACTGGCTGTGGTTGTCACATGTGAATGGTCGATGTGAACATACAAGCGGAGGCTGGAAATGTGTGGGGGAATATACAGTGACTGATGGGGGAGTCTTTTTGATACCCCAGGGGATATGTACCCATACCTTTCAACGGCGTCTATAACGTACTATGAGTACGTGGTTATATTAAAAAAATAAGGATATGTTTGGTTCTTTAGTCCTAGGACTAGAGATTAAAACAGGGACTAAACTTTAGTCTCGTACCCTGTTTGGTTCCAGAGACTAGAGGAGACTAAAAGGCAATAAAGCTGATGAACAAAGACTAAAATACCCTTCTTCTTCCTTTGACGTCCACCACCACCCGCTCCTCTGGACGGCCATCTTCGGCGAGATCCAACAGTAGCACCGCCACCAAGGACCGCGAGCAGGCGAGGCAAGCTCACGGTCACGGACATCCACGAGGTCACCGGAGATGGCCGTGAGGACGGCGAGGAAGAAACGGCGGCGATCTCGGCGGAGAAAACCCCGGTGGCGCTCGCGTGTGAGAGGAGAGCGGGCGGGCGCAAAGGGAGGCGCAGCGGCCGACGTGGGGAGGCACGCTCAGCTGGCATGGGGAGCGTGGACGGGGGCAAAGGGAGGCGCGGCGGCCGGCGTGGGCAGGCGCGCTCGGCGCGAGCGAAAAGCAGGGGCGCGCGGCTCAGGCTAGGGAAAGGAGTGGGGACCGGCAATTATTGAGGGCATGGGGTGTCAATTTGGCCCCATAAGTCCTAATAGGCCTCACCGTGCCTCACCCCAAGGGACTTCTACCCACTAGTCCCTGTTTTAGTCCCTCCGTTAAAAAGGACTAAAATTTAGTCTCTAGTCCCCATTCCCATGGAACCAAATAGGCCCTAGGACCCTTACGTAAATTTGGCAGAGATAGTGTGCTGGCATATGATGCAAGGTCTCTCCTATATATAAGAGCATCTCTAAAAGTTCCATAAATTCCCTCCTACTACTTGGTTATTAGAAAGACGAGAAAAATTCCTTCTTCAACAACTCATAATGTATTCTCCTAATCTTTTGGCACTTGGGAAAAACTCCCCACATCCGCGTAAAGTTCGCGCACTCTTGTCGCAGAACCGACCAATTTATAAGAGTACAAGTATAATGGCAGTCCGCAAACGGTCGCACTGTCATACTTGAACTCATATAAACCCGGTAGTCCGTCGAGTACCACGACGGGTCTCGATAAACGATTTACAACAACCAAGATCGTACATGATTCAACATACATGCCACATATTACATAAAAGTTCGTAGATACATTTCTCCATCAGAGTACGAATAAAAGTTATTACAAACCGAGTTTGGTATATAAAAGCGGAAGCAAATTAAGTTTGAAAGTAACGTTTCCAACATAGTTTAGTACAGTGCCAAGATACGATCAATTATTTATAACTATCCATCTCTAGATTAGCAACTATCCTGCGCCAAACATGTGGTATATCCATTTAAAAGCATACAATAGTAACCATAGCAGGTATTGTAATTCCATAATCATCCGAACCATCATGTTTCATAACACAATTACTACGATGTTGGAGCTAGTCAAGTTTCTCACTATCCGGGAGAGACGGCGATTCGAATCAATTTCAACCAGCTGGGAATTTATTCCTAACACAAACCCAGGTCTACCAGCCACGATAGCCTTAGGTCACCTTTGGTACAACTCAGGTACACATTTCGCGGGTCCATACCGCGCCGCACAATCTGGAACACCAGATGCCAGGATGCTCAGGCCCAGCCTGCCCTTGGGCTCAGTCTGATCGTTCCCCAGAAGGAGCACACAACAGAACGGGTCCCGGCCTGAATTGAATTACTCGGCTTCGCGGTCGGAACGAGTTATCCGGCCAGCTAAGTGAGAGGCATGCGTTCAATCTTGTCAGAAGTTCCAACAACGGTACGGTCCTTAATCGACACAGACGGGGATAGATCCACACCCAAGACCTCTATGTCTTGTTGCTTCTCTATCGACATCCCGCCCGGTATCCATTTACATTAACCATGGTTCTTTTCCACGATAGCAATTATAACCAACCGTGCTCCGGTATCCACCTATATCTCGTAGGTGACAGGAAATCACCCGACTTCTACCGGTCTGAGCATGGCTAAGCATATATTCGATCCTGGACCTATACCGGTTAAAGGTGTAATAGCTGGACAAGGAATGTATATGCATCAAGTGGTTCCATTCAACTCTTATAACCTAATGCATCAATCATAAGTACTTAAGTAATCATTTGTAAAATACTAGAAGACTTAGAATGCTCCGGGGCTTGCCTCGCAGGAAGGAAGTAGGGCGGTGATCAGGACACTCTAGAAGCTCTTCAGGATTCTGCTCCACGCCTTCGGGAGCTGCGGCTTGCGGATTCTCCTGCTAGTCCCCTTCCTCTGCTTCTTCGAATTCCAGCAACGTTATCTCTTCCTCCGATCCTAGATGCATGAATATGGCATAAGTATTACGAATGCATATATGTTAATAGGTGCATCATGTTTAATGAGTAGGTGCATATCTCTTCTCGATTATTTAATTAACTACTTCCACAATGCATCGACTATACCACAAAACAACAGCTACTTGTTTCGCTCATAATAGGAGTTCTACTAATCCAAATGCAGTGATCCTGGACTTTCTGGAAAGCTTATCAAATTATCTACAACTTTGTTATTAACCATTTTTACAGCAAACATCATCTCTATCATGCAACTTAGCAAACTCCAGAATCTGTCCGGAAACTATTCCAATTCGCATTATAAAGTAACAATACTTCTACTTCATGTAATCATTCACAATTTGACAACATGGAATCTACCAACAGTTTAAGCATACCAAATCCATTTAAGATAATATAATGGTGAAGCCCAAACTATTTATTTAAATGCCTTTATTATTTTATTTGAACCCCTAGGTTAAATAATAAACCTATACCAAATGTGCATCATCAATTCTCAAAAAATTACAGTGGCTTACTAGTGCTACCAATAGACTACTGTAAACATTTCATGCCATTTTGCCAAGTAGAACATCCTATGCAAAAATGACAAGGCAGCAAGGCTTGAAATAGCATAAATGGAAAACCCTATTGAAAAGTGTCAAGCAACAGATTTCCTATTTTTCTTAGCATCCATATGGTACTAGGATTACCACCAACAAATTTCATGAATTTTGGATTTCTAAATAATTTGTAAAAATTTACACAAGGATTAACTATGCATAAAAGAAAAATCTATAACTATAAATATACACATGCACTGATCCTCAAATTTTTACCAGAGTTCATACATGACAAGAATAGCTTACCACAAAAATTTCCTAATTTTTGGAGCACAGGAACTCTAGATATAAAATAAACAAATTTGAATGCATTCAAAAGCACATTTCAAATCCCTATTTAAATCTCCAAAAATTTCTACTGTACAAGTCAAGAACATATTTTTCCTAAATACTACACTTCCTAAGGAACACTCATAAATTTATTTCACAATTTTTGGAGCCAGCAAACTAAAGATACAAAAATAACAAAACACATGAAATTAGGATTTAAATCTGAAAAGAATGAACTAGCTTTCTCTTCATCAGTCGCTGACCGGTGGGACCCGCCTGACAGGGGACCCCACATGCCAGTGAGCCACGAATAGAGCAGCGGCGCTACTCGACACTGCGCGGCTACGGCTCGTCGACAGCGAGCTTCGCCGGCGATGACATCTACGCTACATGACCCCCACTACTTCCCGGAGCTAGTGACCTACTTGACCGAGCCTATTGACGGAGCTAAGTATGGTGGCGGCGTTCATGGCGGCATGGCGGAGCTGGACAACGGCGGTACGCCGGTGGGGGCTACGGTGGCTCGATCGAACGCTACGTCGAGCATCACCGAGCTATGGCGGAGCTATCTAGCGCGCTAGCGTGGCCTGCAGTGGACGGTGGCAACGTGGCGACGGCGATGGGGGTGGCGACGGAGCTCCGGTGAGCTCGCGCACGGCGCTGGCACTTACTGAGGGCTATTAGCTGGTACGGGAGGAGGCAGTGGGTTGCTGGGGAGCTAGTGGTGCTGCTGCGGTGAAGAATGGACGGCTCGTCGCCAGCTTGCGCACGGCTATGGCGACGGCAGAGCGAGGAGGCGCTCGGCTGCTGCTGCGGCGAGGAAGAGAGGCTGGGAAATGCGAAATGAGGGCACGGGATGGCTCAGGCAGACGCTGGCGGGGTTAAGGCCGCGTCCAGGCGCGTTGTGGCCTGCACGATCAGGGCGTTGGCGACGCGCGGCCGTCGCCACGGACACGCGGCGCTCACGTTCTGGCGCCGGTCGGCCACCGAACGGCGTCGTCAGCTGATTCAGTCGCGCGCGTATTAGCCTGACAGCGAGTATTGCAACGATGACAACTTCGTTACCGAAGGCTTTCAGCGAAAACTTAGTACATCAAGGTTGAAGTCTAATGTACCAGCTACAACTTTCGTTCAAGGATCATGCTCCAATTCTCAACCGAAACTGAGAAAAATCACCCCCAACATAGGCCTGTCAGACTGTCAGTCAATCAAAGACTTCGAAAATTCGTTAAGTGTTGAAAGCCTGATTTTGCTGGTTTTTGTGGGACCCATTCAAGCATGTTAGAAGCTAAATCAGTCCTTGACTTAAAAATAAAAGTTGTTCCTTATGTCAAACACTACAACTTTGCTTTTGTGATCTCCTCCATGCAAGGTCTCTAACACCTAGTTCAAATTTGGTCAAACATGTCACTTTTAAATGATGATACACATCAAAGCATGGCTTAATGACCTAATTATCCCTAACCATGAATATCAAAGTTGTTCATAATGATACTCTAGACATGTTCAAGCAATTTGCAAGGTCATTCAATCATTTCATGTAGTAGTCACTCATAGAGCTAGC